GCTCTTTATATCTAAAAACTTTATATTTACATGGAGAGGGGTCCTCGCTACGGGGGCCACCATGTTTTTTTACTGTCGTCCAAACTGGACAAACTAAAACCTTATGAGTTTTTATGACAACTGAAGTTCACCACAGGTTCTCTTTCATGTTGGGAAGGGGAGGGTGAGATGAGGAGTATTCTGCTGCAACATGCAACTTCACCTCTGGATTCCACTAAATTCTACACACTGAAAGTTTAAGCTGCAACATCTGTTCAAAATTAATTTGTGCAAAAATGTGGTACTTTTGTGATTTGTAACCAAATACCTATGAGAGTCATGGCATCCGTGTCAGACTCAGCTGTACATCGTGTTAAGTGATAAATGATTGCATGCTAACACACTAAAGTTAGAATGCATAGTGTCTGACTTTCAAGGTCTTAATACACTCGAGTGTAAATATTTTTCATGCATTTCATGCATGTCATTTCTTTTTTGGAAGGAGGTTAACTTTTCTGAGCTTATATACCTCTATATGGAAACCAACCATAGTACTATGGTAGTCTAAGCTACTCTTGGGCAAGAGGATCCTGGTTTAATCTTGAGGTCTCCTCAGATGTGGAACTTCAAACCTTTGTCTGTGCCTTGTAAATGAGGAATAGTTCCCTTCGTCAAATGAATAGGAAATCTATGCAGATGAAATCTACTTTTTCTGAAGAAGGTGGCACAAATTTAACTGGAAGCTTTTATTGAAAGTGATCCAAACGTCAACAACTCTCATCACTGGAGATATGAATATTTTCGATGTGAAATATTTAAATGTGAGTATTTTAGAATATGAGCTGACTCTATATGTCTGTATGTATTTCATTGGCTGAGCTGTGGTTGGTCACCAACACTATCAGCTGGCTTGACATGTAATATTATTATATTTTTTAATGCTAAACTAAGATGTTATCACCTGTAGAGCAAAATGTGGACATTGTGAGTATGTTAGCATGTCGACATTTGAAAATATAGTATCTGAGCTGCGTTGTCTGTAAAACCTTTTGCCTTTAATATATTTCTGCCGTAATTCCAGTAGTACATCCCAAATTTAAAAAACAGGATTTTGCACCTCAGAACATGATCATTACTATACAACAAAAGAAAAAGCACCACTGTATGTTGTCCTAGGAACATTATTAGGAACAAAGTTCATTTAATTTTATGAGGCACTCATTTTTGGACCCTTTCACCAGAGCCTCTTTGTGCATTTCTCTACATCCTGACAGACATGAGCTATTGTATCGCTTCACGTTAGAGGCTGTGGAAACCTGAGCTGTGGCCTCAGGGTCATGGGGCGTCCATTCTCTGATGACAGTGAGCTGGACCGGGTGAAGACATTTTTTCTGTGCTGGGTCACTCTCCTACCTGCTCCTCCTCTTTCTCCTATTTTCCCCCAAATGTTTTTTTTTTTTTTGTGAATAGGTGATCCATTAACAGAAATGGAGCTGCGAACTAAGTGTAGATGGTATAGAGATGTCTGCCGTCCTCCTTTCTCCACCTGCCCTGGATTTTTTCCTCTTAGACAGAGAGTTTTTCTTTGTCTATGCACTTTAGTTCTGTTTCTCTTTTGTGTTTTTTTGTTGTGCCCAGGATAGCAAGGTCTTGTCTGCAATGATGCAGATATTTTTTGAAGATATTCTCTTTTTATGTCCTCTTCTTTTAAAAAAAGTCCACATGATTCCAAATGTCTCCTTCCAGTAAAGATCAAGAAACGACTACAAACCATTAAAAAAAGCATGCCAGGCCAGGAGGGGGTGATAAAGTCTACACCAACCATTCGTCAAATTCCACAGAAAAACATTGTGGGCATGTTCATTGAGCTTATTCTACTGTCAACATTGTAGCCGCCATCATTGTAGTCTTTTCTGGCATGTTTGAAGAAAGCAGTGGTCATCATTTCCCAAACTGTTGTACGAGACACACAGATATGGAGAAACCTCAATTTAGAAAATCTGCTCTTTGGAAGTTGTTTGTAAAAATCTTTTGTTCACATGTCAACAAGAAACCCCCCCAAGAAGCTCATCTGCATTGGTGTGTACAGGGTGAAAATCAAGCTGCGGTTCATCCATTTATCCATCTGATATCCAGTAGCAATATGGTGCATGTGATTTATAATAAAATTAAGGGGATCATACTACTGCTTTTTTCTTCGTCATAATTACAGCACAATAAGAGAGCTATTACAAATCCAGATATTGTGCAGGGTTAAAAATTATTACATTTCTGGGAGATGTATAACACTCTGACTGAGTGTCTTTCATCGGCAAGTTGATTTTTTTGTATGTGTTCGATTTCATCCCTTGTCGTCCGTTCATCTCTATTTCAACCTCTCTACCTTTTGTAAACCACTGTCCTCTCTCTATTCAGAGAAAGCTATGAGCCTCTTGGCACAGTGCCATCCCAATCCATTCACTACAGACCGCACAGCCACTGCTGCCTCCCCGAGTGTGTGTACCCTGTCCTTCCAGGGGATCCCACTTGTACAGTTAAATGGCAAAATGGCCACTTCACAGATCCCCTCCTCTCCACCACACCGTGTCCTCATGAGACACCAGCAGTCAAAGCGTGCTTGTGTATGTGCCTGCCTTTGTGAAATGGGTGTTTGTGTGTGTGTGTGTGTGTGTGTGTGTGTGAGCACACGTCCGCCTGTGTTGAACGTGTGTGTGGCCGCAAATCTAGGGCATGTTGAGCTTCCTGGTGCAAATGTGTGTGAATATCATGGGTTTTATTCCCAAATGAAAAGACCACAACTTGAAATATGTGATACTGTGTGCTTACCTTAACTCTTTTAAAGGGTTGGACATCTACTGTATGTTTAAGTTCGCAGTTTTATATCATTAGCTTTATGCAGGTTATATTAAGATATCTTAACCTTGGTAAAAGGACATTTTCCTGTGTTTTTCCCCATTTTTTGCTTTTACCTTATCACACCTTTATCCAGTTCTGTGAAACATAATGGTTTCCATATCCAACACAGAGTGCCTTGCCAAGTGAAACCATTGACAGGGAGCTGGGAAATTAGTGCAAACGGTTTAATGACTTTATGAAAGCTAATTAGTAGAAATAAGGAGAGAGGAAGAGAGGAGCCATGGAGGTGATGTGTCTTAGAGTGTGTTTTGGGGTGCGCTTGTGCGCAAGTGTTTCTGCTCCTACAAGATTGTATGCATGTTTGATAGTCCTTTAATTGCATGTCTGTGTTTGCAGGGGTCTGTGTGTATATGAATGTTGTCTCTGTGGCAGGTGTGTGTTTTTGTGTGTGCCCAGAGAAAAGTGCAGCAGCTTTTCTCAGCATTACCCGGCCTCTTCATCAGGATGTGATGGTGGGGGGTCAGGCCTCATTTAATCAAGGGAAAAATTCCATGTCCCATTAACTTAATTAATCCAACGCCGGGGAGAGAGAAAGAGAGAGAGAAACTGAAAGAAACCTGTGTGTGTGTGTGTGTGTGTGTGTGTGTGTGTGTCTGTCTCTGTGAGAAAATAGTGTTTCCTAAGTTGGATTCACAAAGCGGTTTGTCAAAGGAAGTGTACAGGGGGTAGATTAAATGAGATGACTTACACAGGCACATGTGAAATCATGTAATGACTTCATGTAAAAGACATTTGATTTGACTTAACCTCAATTCACACTATTTGTTAGCTAGAGAAATATCCGGTTTCGCAGGAAGAAAAAACATGCTGCCATTTCTGCAGCTGCAACTTATTCGTAAACCCATGTATAAAACTGTAATGTATGCAGCATGTTGCACTAATGAGCATATTCACCAAGAGACCCTGAAGAACCTTTAAAATACAAAAAGTTGAATAAAAATTATTATCAAATAAAAATTATAAACATTCAATCTGTTTTCCACCACACACAAGAAACATACACCCACTTACATCGGGAATAGATCCACTCAGGATTCACTGCTGGATCATCGTTATCTTCTTTTTTCTTCTTCTTTTTACCTGCATTTAAAAAGCTTTTGCTATTTTTTTTGTCATTTGCAGTTGTGTTGTCACTTGCAGTTGTAATGTGGCTTTGGCATTCATCTTTTTAGTTTTTTGTGTGAGACGTCTCGGCCACTGTACAAAACAGCATTTACTGTTAAAATAGAGGGCGAAAACAGAAAGGGTGTAGGTGAGATACAGTGAAGATGAAGACAGGAGACGAAGAGACCTGTGAGAGTATTAAAACATCTGGATGCACTGAGTGGAAGGGATAATAATCCGATACCACTACAGGTGTATTTATTTCCATTTGGTTATATGCATCTTTATTTCAAAAGTTATCTTTGCATTTGATTAAATGTATTTTTTTTTAAAAAGACAGGGGTCAAAAAAGTAAGCCACCTTCAAGTATGTGCAGGGTTAAATTGCTGTGGTCTCCTTGGACTACAGTTTATGTAGCACTCTGCTGCTCATCTCACACCAGCTCATCAATCACTCACCCCAGGACTTCCCCTCTCCCTCTGACTTTAATGTCCTGCTGCTGACACACAAATCCCTTCATGCTTCTGCACTCATTTCATTTGCAGAGCTCCTCCTCCACCTCCTCCTCCTCCTCCTCCTCCTCCTCCTCCTCTGGCCTCCTCTCTCTGTCCCCAAAACACCCTGCGCCTGGAATGCACCACCCCTGTCCATCTGTGCTGCCAGTGCTATTGACTCTATGGAATTTCTGCTGCAAAAAGACAAACTGCCAAAGCCTGAAACGGATAAGTCGGCAAAAAAGCCAAATATGACAAATGAAACAGGTGCAAGGAAGTGACAATAATCAGAGCTATGTATAAAAAAAACAACATTACATTTACTGTGATAGTGTTTACTGAGTATAAAAACAAAAGGGTCACATTGAAGCTCGGTGCATTCATTTTATAATCAAATTACACTGACAAACAAAGAGATAGTGAAAGTACAGGGTGGTATGTTTTAGAGTGAAGATGAACCTAACTGAACCTACACAGCTAACAAACCTTCCTTCCTCTCTCCCACAGAAAAGCCTGTTTCAGTGGAGCTGAGCTGTGGGGCTGGGCCCAGCCATGTAGTGTTGGAACCAGGTTTGCCCCTCTTGCTGGACTGCAATCTGGGGGCCAGCGATACACCTTTCAATGTCACCTGGCTCCAGGATGGCCAGACCCTGCCTCCGGAGGGGGATCACCTGCAGTATCTGGGCAACGGATCGCTCCTCCTGCTGCCGACCTCCAAGGACGGCCAGCCTGCCCAGAGGTTGGAGGGGGGCTTCAGCTGTGTGAGTGCCAGTGCTGCTGGAGCCCTCACCAGTAGGACCGTGAATGTCCTCTTGGCAGGTAGGTGTCCAGCAACACCCGGAGCACACTGGTTTGTTTTGGGTGCTTTGTTTTCTACCACTCTTATAACACAAGCAGTTTATGTGTGAACTGGGGCTTCCAATGTCCACGATCATGGATGAGAAGGTTTAACTAAATTACAATTTTGATTTGGGTCAAGCTTAGAAGATAGTATGTGTTAGATAGCATTTATACTTTAGCTAAGGTAACTGAGGCTACATCCATATTACTACGTTTTTGTTTGAAAACACATCGACTCTGCTACAAATACACATGATTTCCACACTACTCCTTCTATTTAGAAACATTTGTCTGGACGGGCAGAAATGCAGATGTTTGGAAACGCTGGCGTAGAAGCTCCTATCACATCACCCCCTTCTGGGAGAAAACAACTCACATTAGCCTCGGCTACCAGCATAGAATGCAACATTTCTTATCAATTGCAAGGGTTGCTGTTGTCTTTGCTATCAGCTGTTCTGCCTAAATTCTAAACTTTACAATGATGCAACTGTTTTGTAGCAATGAGAAGAAGCAGAAAGTCTACACATCTTCTGCTGCAGAGTAATGACACATCTCTTCCGAATACACCTTGGTGAAAAAAAAAAACATAATAAAAGTAAGAAAAAGAAAAAAAAATCAGTTTAGTTGCACTTATATTGCACTTCCTGCAAATTGTTATAGTGAACCGTACCATAATACAGAGCCAGAACATAAGCGTGGACAGAAATTGTTGAAACTGCCATTTTCGAACAAAACTGAAGGAGTATGAACGTAGCCTGAAAGCAGAATCAATGTTCTCACCTTCTTGAAAAGACAAACTGTTCCTTTGCCTCAAATAGGAAAATTTGATAATTATGAATAAGCTGCATCTGGCATAATTACCTCTACGTTATTTCCATCACAATAATTGGTCTGCGTCTGTTTGTGTTTAGGCTGATCAAAACATTGTTAGGATTTGTAAGGTAACAACAATTGGTTTAACTCACTCATCCATTTAAAACATTCAGTCAGGGAATGTGTGCTCACCACACAGAGCAGTGTGAATCGTCAGATTTGTCAGGGGACTTTGCTTGCATGGCTGGAGATGAACTTGGTTCCTCCTCTGCTGCAGATAAGAGACTTATCCTCTGGTGGAGCGCTAACAAGTGTCCTGGGAACAGGTACATGCTCAAACAAAAATCTGCTGTTCAGAGTTATTTAGAGTGAAGTAGAAAGAGTGGGCGGTTACAACAGATGCAAAAAGGAAGACGTGGATGTGAGGGACGACTGCAGCTCTTTAATCGCCCTCTCCAAGGAGCCTTCTTTTTCTCACACTCCTAAGTGGTAGTCTTTATTTAGTCATTAGCTTTGTGTAAAATGAGACAGTATCCTCTTTGGATGCCCCCACTTTTGTCAGCTTTCACATGCCTATTTATGAGGAGCTCTTGTTTGAGGGACAATAAGGAGTTGAGTGGAGGGAGGGGGGACGTTAGATGAATGGTGGGAAGGCAGAAAAGGCTGAAGAGAGTTTGCGGGGATGGTGAAAGGAAAGGCTTCAGAGACCATTAGGAATGACCTTCAGTTTGTGTATGTGTCTATGTGCTGTATTTGTGTGCAGGATCTGAATTAAATCAGCAGTGAGAGGCTATGAGATAGATGTGGCCAGTGTGTACGAGGTCGAAGCCGAAATGCCTCGACATTGATATTGTGTGGGCGTTCTCATTTCCGACTGCGTCCTCACCACCAGAAATGAGACTGAAGCAAGAACATAGGCGAGATCAAGTGTGAAAACATGTTATGGAAGCCAGTTGGTCCAGTCTAAGTGGCTTGTCTCAGTGCATGACACCCATTGCCTTGTTAAAAACATGTGGAAGAGTCTTCACTGGATGAATAAAATGTAAATAGGTTCACTGCCTCTAACTCACCTTTCTCTTGCAAATTGCCATGGCGGCAATAAGCGTGCACATCACATTACCAAAAACATCCATGTGTAAATGATGATGCCGGGGAAAAATAACAGCTTTTAGAGTTAATTAGACCAATTAACCTTTCTGATTATGAGACTGCTGGAGTGAATGTCAATATTTCCTAATTCCCAGTAGCTTTCACCTCGCATTTCAATAAAGGAAGTGATGTCAGAGCTGCTTTCTCTTCATCACAGTTTTCTGAATTTTAAGCGCATCCTCTCTAAAGTAAAACAGATTTTTTTTTATAATGGGTGCTTTCATTACAACATATCTGTCTTTTTATGCCACATGTTTTTAATGAGCTATCTGGAGATAAAATCACTGTGGTCTCAAATTACACAATTAAATATACCAAATCTGCAATGGGAACAGGATGGGGAGAATGATATTTGGATGTGCCATAAATGGTCTTTTCTTTTGCTATGTCAATGATCTCTGACACAATGAAGTTAAAAGTGGTGAAATATTGTAAAACGGACAAAAGATAATCGCAGTGCAATTTTTATCCAGCAGCCATTACAAATATGTGTTGGGGCCTGATGGGTTTTCACACTGATACTCTGTCTGAAAGCTGGGTAGCAAAGAGGTCATGGGTAAAATTAACTGCTCGCACAAGGGGAGGGGAAAAACGCTGCAATCTGATAGCTCTGGGGCCAAAGAGTGGGGCATAGATAGAGGGACGGACAAATACACAGAGAAAGAGTTGGGTAAAGTCAAGGCCAGGAGAGAGAGAGAGAGAGAGAGAGTGGGGGATGCAATGAGAAAAGAAAAACGAGAGGTATAGCAAAGAAAGACAAGATATGGAGGAAGGGGAAGGAAAAGGTTACACTCTTTACACAGTGCCCGAGAGCCGCCTGAAAATGTTCCTTTAAAATATAGGAAGACCTTGTTGCTAGGAAACAATTGGACATATTTTTGACCCTGTGGCTTGATGTGTCACCTTTCCTGGGAGAGCTGCGCTCCAAAAGAAATTGCTCAGTGGTGTATCAGCACAGTGCCGGGCAGACCAGTGTCAACTTTTGCAAAATCTGAGTGTGTGCTCCGCGTGGTGCTGGACGGATCTGCCGTGGAATTTCATTGCGGGCCAGGGGGACACTCATGGAGTCCTGGGAAAAGACTAATATGATTATGCTTTGACAGAGTGGAGGTGGAAGCTCGGCGAGTTGCCTTTGTTCCATCACAGCATGGGAAAAGTGTGTTCTCTGAGCAGCCACCCCCTTGCCCCCTTTCATTAACATCTGCGTCGCTGATCAGCTGTTGTCCGCTACTCACATACAGACGCTCCCACCTTCCCATTTACAGACGTGCACATAAATTCACACGCTGATCCAGTAATATAATCACGAGATGCCTGTGTGGAGGCATCAAGACACACCGTATAAACACTGAGGTACAAGTAGCTTGGCTCACATGCTCTCGAACTCACATTCACACTCTGGCACCCAGTCAGGCGCTCCACTCTCTGGCAGTGTTACAGGTGGTGTGTTTACATGAGGGCATCACAGTGTGTAATGGCTGGAAGAGGCAGGGGTTAATCATCAACTCCTCCTGCAAAGCTGCCTCTGCAAGTCATTCCAAGATTTTTTTTTTTCTGAAATGAATCAAATGCTTTCTGTTACTATGGCCAGGCTTGTGTGTCAGCCTCTGTGTACCCATTGAGAAACTCTGTTCCCTCTGTGCAGAAGGAAAACACAGATGGTCGGTTTGTTGCCATGACTAACAGTTGGTGTGATAGGGGTTAGTGGCTGTGACTCCTCCAGCTCACTGTGGTTTGGAGGAAATAGATTGTGAGACTTTGGAAGCTTTCAACTTTAGAAATCTTTACACAGATATTTGATAGGCTGCAAGTTTGAAAACATCCAAATCTGAAAATGGCTACTGTCTACAAGTTAGTGTCATTCCTCTTTTCCATAGTTCTGTTGTTTAAGTCTGATGACATGTCAGGGTCTTCACTCTAATGCTGTTGTCTAATGCATTGTCATGTGAAATGTGAGATTGAGTGGATCGCTATGTTACTTTGTACAGAAATTCATTGTTCCAGAGGATGAATCATGGTTATTCAGTGAACTTACCACCAGTAGGTTAACATTTTAATTTTTTAGTGAAATATCTCAACAGGTGCTGGATTGGTAACCATATAATATTTGGTTATGTTAAATAATATTGAATAATTATTCAATCATGATTGAATCCTGCATTGATTTCCAGATTTTTCATCCATTGCCACCAGCCATTCAAAGTTTCCACTTATCCATTAAAATATCCTAACTACTAAACATGATTATGTAAAGAACCTCATGATTCCCCAATGATGTATTCCAACATTTCTGAGATCCCCTGCTTTCTCTGTATAGCTACACAGTTGGATTGACATGTGTATCATTTCATAAAACAAAACTTTTGGTTTCTTTTGCTGAAAATAAATTAAGTAAAAGTAGGATGTATCATATAATATCAGCTGGTGCCATTATCAGGTAATATCTAAATTTTATGACATTCCCAGCAGCCTCTGCTGTACTTTGTGGCCAGCACTTATTAGGATATGTCCTGTCTTTAAAACTCAGTTTGAATAATTTATATTCACAGTAGAACAGTTTACAAAGCAGCAGTGATTAAAATATGAAGCAGTAAGTCCTAAATATCAAGCATGGAGTTTTATCAGATCTTACAGATACTAGTATTAAGTATTAAGTGTGGTGAGTAGTGTCTCACAGATGTGATTACTTTCAGGGATGTTTGAAATAAAGAAAAGTACATGTTGCCATCTATCTATAGGGTAAGCACCTCTCTGAATCACCTTTGTCTCTGCTGGTATAGGTGGATGTACTATATACGTAGCACTTCATGTTAATCTTTACACGTTTTCAAGCTGTGCTGGTCTCAGTTCTGCAATCATATGCACATGGGCATGTTACAGAACAGGACGCAGAAAAACTGAGGAAATACATTACTAAATATTTTTGTGCTCAGATTCATTTAAGTATACTCACAATTTACAATGTGTACTTTCTTCTTCTTCTTTATTTCTCCATGTAGTATGCACTGTATCTTTTTGGTCCAGCCCTTGGAGTGCTTCTTTCTGTCTACCTTCCTGCTTTCTTCCTTTCTCTGGTTGCCTTCTCTGTCTTCTTTCTCTTCTCTGTCTCTGTCTCTTTGATTCCTCCCCTCCCCTCCCCTCCCAGCTCTCTGCTCCTTTAGTTGGAGCTGGAGGCATGTGTGGCTGGGACAACCAACCACTTTTGTTCTCATCTCCTGCAGCCTGCTCAGGGGGTCAGAGGTTAGAGGCCCTCAGATAGTGCTCAGTGCTGGCCCCTGGTGCTCGGCGTTACCTACAGTCAGAAGATCTCCGGTCTGTGTGCGAAATGTGTTGAGGCTGTGATGAAATCTGGAGGCCTGCCAAGACTCGACCTGGAGAGAGAAATAATCCAAGCCAAGCCTGATTATGTCCCCAGATTTCCCTTAATCAGGACATTCAAGGGTATTCAAATGGTCTGAGCAACTGTAATTAAATTACAAGTTTAGAATAGTGCATTTAAAAGCCCCAAAATGGTTTGATGTGATTCTCAAGATGTAAATTGAAGAAACTCACTTTAATTTCATTGTTTAAACCAAAGCTGTGGATCTTTGTGTAATTTTGTGTATTTGATATGTGTCATTGTTATGGCTGTAGTGCAGCATTTTGCTTGTTTAGTGTTTTCCTGGAGGTACACCCCCCCCTCCCTGCAGTGGATGGCTGAGTGTGTGCTGTGGGGAGCACAATCAGGGAGGGGAGATGTGGGCAGTGCCAGGGGGCCATTTGGCAACTTTCAGGCTGTGTGTTGTCAACTAGAGTTATAATGAACCAAGATCGATAATCCTTTTTTGGAAGAGAAAGTGTTTATTGTAGTTTCCTGTTTCCTGATTCGTGTTTTACTTTAGCCAAGTTTCTCTGTTTACAGGAAGATAGATTTTGTTATAATTTTTATTCACTTCATCCCCTGGACTTTAACAGGGATGTAACAGCTCTGCCTCGTCGGCATCATCTAACGAGAGCTTTAGACCAGTGGTGGACAATGGCTTCAACATAATTGCAGTCTGTCACATAAAATGTGACCCAGATTAAATACAGTGTGTTATATTCATCATACCAGAAGTAGATGACATGACACAGATTTCAGATCATTTAAATGTCAGTTGCACAGTGCTCGTTAGACGTGGGCCATTCTTTTATTCTTTGTCTGTTCACTGTTACATCTCCAACTCTGCTTTATCCCTACAGGTCTGTCTAAGTTCCACCAAGAGCCATCACCCCAGACAGTGCCTGATGGTGGCACTGCCCGCTTCGAATGCCAGATTGAGGGTGTACCCACACCTGTTATTACCTGGGAAAAGAACAGAGTGGTGCTCCCTGAGGAGACCAGGTGACCCTTCTTTATGTGTTGTTGTCCCTCATCTCCTTCTTTTTCCATCTTCTCTTGTCTATTCATTACTTCTGAGGAATTAGCAGTGGGGTTTTTCAGAGGCTCTCCTGCCATATCCTTGGACCAGTAGAGCCTGAATCAGGGTTCATAGATTTGTGGAACTGTGCCAAATCCCGCCATCATCATCAATGTGAGAAGTTTGGTTTTAATTTAAACTACCACCTCTGACTGGATTTGGGTTGACGTGGCTGTGATGTTACCCAGCGGGCCACTGATATATATTAATGATTTTAATTATTACTAATTTGCTAATAATCGAATTGCCCCCACCAGTTCACAACATCCGGTTGATGTCAGGATTTCAACATAACTATTTTCAGTATAGAATTTTTACAGTTACTGATTATTCATTATTTCCTATGAAAGGTACAGTGCGTAGAATTCTGTGATATCTAGCGTTGAAATTGCATGTTGCAGCTGAACACCCCTCACCTCACCCTCTCCTTTCAAACATGAAAAATAACCTGTGGTGAACTTCAGTTGTCATAAAAACTCAAAAGGTGTTTAGTTTGTCCAGTTTGGACTAATGTAAAAAACATGGTGGCCTCCGTAGAGAGGGTCCCCACAATGTAAATATAGTATTTAAATATAAAACAGTCTTTTCTGGGGTAAAGAAAACTACAATTCATAAGATTTAGTTGAAACGAACTAGAGAAAACATCATGAGGATTATTCTACATTAAATATCTGCCAATAGATCTCTTTCACCTAAATCTTACACACTGGACCTTTAAAAGTAGTTAGTGAAATACTTACTCTTACAATGACTCATACATTTGTGGCTATGTGTGACTTTTATGCAAGTTGACCTGAATGTGATGTCAAGCTGACATCACATCACATCTGTGGCTCTCCCCTTTTGAGTTTAATATCTGAGGCTGTATTGAGGTTTCCATAAAGATCAGATTATCAAAATTTCTGAAAACAAAATATAAAATCCAGAGGTTGGTGTAGGTATGACAATGTTAAGGTAAAGAAACAACACGATTGTTTTTATGAGTCTCTTTTAGCTTTAGTTGGAGAGAGGCCTTTCACACTAAATGTTAGAGTGCTGTAGCTACAAACTCAACCTAGAAAAATCAGAAAACCCATTTTGTTGTCAAGTTTGACAGTTAAACTTCACTTCTACATTCATCAAAGATGTGAAACACACATATAGATGCAAATCTTTAAAATGTTGTTTCATTGCAGCCCTACTATTGCCTCATCATTTCATTGTATATTCCCCGGAGGATATACTGCATGTATTACACACTGCAGTGAAGGGGTTAGAGGGCAGAGATAGCGAAAAACATTAATCTGACAATGATAATATAATACAAGATTTACCGCTACGAATAATAACAATTCATAATGCCATTGCCAGTGAGATTGAAGCACATATTCTAATTATTATAACTATTCTATTCTCTAAGTACATTTTAAGAACTTTACCAACTGTAAGAAGAGCAGTGGACAATCACTTTGAGTTTCCAACAAGGTCATCACTGAAAACCTGCGCTTTTACAGATAAAAAAAAATACAGTTTCAAAATGTCATATCCTCGACGGGTCTCTCTCACACTCTCTCTTTTTCACCGTCATTTCGGTCTCACAAATATTCTCAGCCACTTAACAATATTGACATTTCTCTGTGGCTCCACTGGCCCTGTCGCCTTGGAATTTGTTTCAAGCTCAAGCCTTATTACACAGGACTAAGTGCTAATGGCTGTTGCAGACCTGTGTGACCCACAAACAGCTTGCTGCTTATAAGGTTTCATTGGCGGGATGCAGCTCTCCCACCTCAGGAGCAGTTAATGGCCTCACAAAAAGATGAACCATAAAGGATGGATGATACATCACTGGCTTTTTCTTTCTCTGTTCTCTCTCCTTACTCTAATTTGCCTGTACCTCTCTGTTGGCCCCTCTGCCGTATTCTCTTTTTCGTCACCACTATGCCTTTTCCACCTCTATTTCTGTGTTTCTTCTCTGATCCACTTTTTCTTCACAGCCTTTCATTATTTCTTTCTTTCCCTAAATGTTGTAGTCATCCACTGCCTCTACTTTTCTCTCCAGTACCTTCCCCTTTCTCCTCTCAGAACACTGGTCATATTTTAGTGATTGTAATAGGTTATCAGAATCAGAATACTTTATAATTTCCAGGGGGAAATTGTTTTTGTTACAATTGCTCCAAGTAAAAGGTAGAAATATAGCATATAAGATTWAAAATAAAATATAGAATAAAATATGAAATATATACAATAAAATATTACATTTACAGTACTAATTGAATATTTAGTGCAAATGGATATGCTTGCAATGACTCCAGTCTGAGTTTTTCAGAGGGAGGAGTTGTCCAGCTCCACCCCTACGTCACTGGCCTTGTGGAACAGTTTGTTGAGTCTGTTTGCGTCCACAACCCTCAGTCTGCTACCCCACCACTCAACAGCAAACAAGAGAGCAGTGGCCACCACAGTCTCATAAAACATCCTCAGCATAGTCCAGCAGATGTTGAAGGACCTCAGTCTCCTCAGGAAATAGAAGCGGCTCTGGCCCTTCTTGTAAAGGGCACCAGTGTTCTTAGCCCCGTCCAGCTTTTGGTCGATCTAAACTCCCAGATATTTGTAATCCTCCACAATGTCCATGCTGCCCCCCTGGATGGAAACAGGGGTCATGGGTGTCCTGACCCTCCTCAGATCCACAGCCATTTCCTTTGTCTTTGTAGGTGGTTCTGCTCACACCGTGTGACAAAGTGACCCACCACAGCCCTGTATTTAGTATCCTCACCCTTGCTGATACATCCAACTATTGCAGAGTCATCAGAAAGCTTCTGGAGATGGCAGGTCTCTGTCTGGTAGCTGAAGTCTGTGGTGTAGAGGGAGAGAGGACCTTCCCCTGTGGGGCCCCTGGTGTTACTGACCACTCTGTCAGACACATAGTGATGCAAGCGCATATACTGTGATCTGGCAGTCAGGTAGTTCACAATCCAGGCCAGGACGGGGGCATCCACCTGTGTGCTATGAGTTTCTCGCCCAGTAGAGCTGGCCTGATGGTGTTGAAAGCACTGGAGAAAAAAAACAAAACATGACCCTGACAGTGCTAGCCGGCTTGTCCAGGTGGGCATAGACTCGATTCAGCAGGTAGACGATGGCGTCCTCACTCCTAGCCGAGGCTGGTAGGCAAACTGAAGGGGATCCAAGTGTGTCCTGACCATGGGCCATAACCCTGGAGAGATTCATCCTGGAGCTGTTTTCATGATGTGGGATGTCAGAGCCACCGGTCTGTAGTCCTTGGAGCCACTGGGATGTGACGTCTTTGGCACAGGAAAAAGGTAGGATGTCTTCCACAACACAGGGACCCTCTGAAGACTCAGGCTCATGTTGAAGACACGGTGAAGCACTCCACAGAGCTGGGGAGCACAGACTTTGAGCACCTTGGGGCTGACACCATTGGGGCCCGCAGCCTGAGTGGACTTTCCTCAGCTGTCTTCTAACATGGTGAAGTGTGAAGGACACTGTAGAGGATGCAGGCTGGGGAGGAGGAGGGATGGAGTCATCAGGAAGAAGACAGTTAGTTTGTTATGATAAAAACAATAACAGTTTGCTGGATTTCAATGTGTCTGGAACATTCAAGCAAACATATTAAATATCAACAGTACAAATAGAACAAAGATAAAAATATATTTTTGATGCTGTGCTTTTTTTGTACAGTATCCAGACCAATCTCACTTTTCATTCTCTTACAATATAACCACACACAGGAGAACAGAGTGGGCGTAATACTGTGTGATTCTCTGGAGCTCTCGTCTTTGTCTTTATCCAAAACTTCAATCTCTCAGTCACTTTTTATAAGTCACCTTTTGAGTTGTATAACTAGGAATTGTGACCACTCTTTGATATGGTTGTACACAAAATCCTCTCCTCAATAAAGAAGGATGGAGTTTGTGAGGACCCAGCTGCATGCTCCATGTTACAGGACTCTAAATGATTTATTCAGTTCTCTCTCTCTCTCTTTCTCTGTTTTTTCCCTGCGTGCAACAGGTTCATTTCCCTTCCTAACGGGGTGCTCCAGATCCTTGAGGTGACCAAGGAGGATGAGGGTGCCTACCGCTGCGTCGCCTCTAACTCTGCCCGGAAGGACATCAGTCATGAGGCTCGACTCACTGTCACCACAGGTGATGTCTGCTGCAGTGCTTTGTAACATCTGAATAGGTGGCTGGGCTCCACTGGGAGCTGCCACACCAGTCTGAAAAATCTAATTTCAGTCTTGGTGCTAACAAAAGGTGTTGCTCTCTTATGTCGTGTTTGTATTGCACTTTGTGGGTTTGAAACTACCATGACTCATCTAATTGTAATCTGGAGAATATTGTTGCAAAGAAAGAGTTCAGCATCATTATTTTAAAGTATCCTCTTGTTTTTCCACAACAACTTCACCACTATTTTAACAGGAGCAATTTCGGGTGATTGGTGATTAGTCTCACAGCGAGAAGTACCCTGGTTTGGCCGGGATCTTTTTCTGTGGAGTTGGCATGTTCTGCTTTTGTCTGTGTGGGTTTCCTCATGATACTCCTGCTTCCTCCCATAGTCCAAAGACAAACAGATTGACTCTAAATTGACCATAGGTGTGAATGGTTGGCCTGTGATACGCTAGTGACTTGACCAGGGTGTACCTGTCTCTTGTGCAACCCTCAAAGGAAAAGTGCTAGGCTAAAGATAATCTATGGATGAAGTGTGCCATCTGGAATTAGCTAACCCTAACCCCTAACCCTGAACATATACAGTGAGAATGGATGAGGTAGAGTGTTGTGTGTGGTAAAGTTATCAGCTTGGCTTCAGCCAAACAGACTATCTATCTATCTATCTATCTATCTATCTATCTATCTATCTGTCTGTCTGTCTGTCTGTCTGTCTGTCTGTCAATCTAACCATCTGTCTGTCTATCTGTCTATCTATCTATCTATCTATCTGTCTGTCTGTCTGTCTGTCTGTCTGTCTGTCTGCCTGTCTATCAGTTTTGCCTAAAATATGTGACTAATTATTTGTTATAACCAGTGAAGTCCCAGTTTTGAAGATGTTTTGAATGGGCTGTTTACTTGATGCAGCTTTCCTTCGGAAACTGTAAAACTGTCCTGCTGTAATTGAGCTGCAAAGAGCTGTTCACCTGTTTATTAAGAGTTCAGCTCAACTCAGTACGCAGAACTCTGAACTGGAGAACCAGTTGTCGTTGCTGTTTTTGTCATCAACAACGGCACTTACATTGATGAGTCCCAGCATTTTTATTCAAAGTTTATTAATAGTGAATGTTTTACTTGTCCAAATGGTACAAATTCGACATTACAGTTCCATATGCCCTGAACAATACAAATACCAAGTGTGAAGCTTATTAGATGAGCGGTTACCCAGACAGAGATTTCTGGATTTGGTAGATAGATAATCGTGGGTTTCTGCTCACAAGTGATTAGAGATACATTACAGTAGAATACATAAGAATATATTGAAACTGTTCTAGTTCAGAATTTGTTTAGAAGGGATGTGTTTACTCTGATTATTCCTGGACTGTAGTCACTTCAGCTGTACAAATACACAATGCTTCACATGCACAGCAGCAGCTGCAGCTGAATGGCAATTGTACAGAATCAAGACCGAACTCCATTTTCATTCTCTCACAATATAACCACACACATGAGAACAGAGTGGGAGTAATGTGATCAAAATATCTCACTAATAGAACCACATTGAAATACTGAAGCACCACGGTCATCACTGTCAGAGTGTATTCTGCTGTGGCGATCGACATGACGCATTGAATCTTTCATTAGAGGTGAGATGTCACCATTAGGCTGCCCACGTTAAAGCCATGCCACATGATGAGCCTCTGCCACCGGCTCGCAAGAGATCAGTCAACTTTAATTGGCTGCTCTGTGGAAACCTCTTTTTCGAATCACAGCTTTTGTGTCCTTCAACAGAAAAACAAAAAGAAAAAAAATGGGAAGGGGAGACTCACTCACTGTTGAGTAATGAGTTCAGTAATGACATGGCTGCTGTAACCTGCAATAGAGGGAACAAGTATAACAGCTTCACCACCATTTTAACAGGAGCAATTTCAGGTGATTGGTGATTAGCACTGACATCTCACAGCGAGAAGTACCCTGGTTTGGCCGGGATCTTTATATGTGGAGTTTGCATGTTCTGCTTGTGTCTGTGTGGGTTTCCTCATGATACTCCTGCTTCCTCCCACAGTCCAAAGACAAACAGATTGACTCTAAGTTGACCATAGGTGTGAATGGTTGGCCTGTGATACGCTAGTGACCTCTTGTGCAACGTCATCTGGAATTAGCTAACCCTAACCCCTAACCCTAAACATATACAGTGAGTTTGGATGAGGTAGAGTGTTGTGTGTGGTAAAGTTTTCAGCTTGGCTTCAGCCAAACAGTCTTTTTTTCTATCTATCTGTCTCTCTGTGTCTCTGTCTCTCTGTGTCTCTCTCTCTACTTATCTATGGTAGTCCTGCTGATCTCAGATGAAACTGCTGAAGTCTCTATTGTCAGCTATTACCATACAGGCTATGGCTTTTACATTATTCACTTGCCGCATCCAATGCCATGACTTCACTTGCTTGCACTGTTATATAATTCCTCAAATCTCATTGACAGCTTGCATCGGGGTCATCAAGTTCATGTACTTAACTCGCGCAGCTGGAGAATCCACCTGCCTTAACCTTACATCTTCTAGTGTCTTCCATTTTCTTTAACCTCTCCTTTTTTATTCACACACTGCACCACACCCATCTCGTCTACAAACAAGAACCCTACAAAGGCGTGCCCTGCAGTGCAGTCCTCGCAGAGGCAGACAGGCACACTTAAAGCCATGTGCATCAGCGAGGGCTGCTGTATCTAATCTCCATTATTAATTTATAATGTGTTTACAGAATGCCAAGCGTGTATGTACATATTGCTTCCTGGCAAGCATAAGCACTGCACCCTTTTTACATAATTTGAGGCCATTCTGTCAACTGAATTAATGCTTTATACCTTTTCTCACACAAAAGGATTCTCTCTTTTTCTCCTTCTCGTATCGCCAAACCCTTTCTGAACAATCAGGTGCTTTTTCATTACTCAGAAAATCACCTCCTCTCTCTGTCTCATGACTTCAGAGGGAACAAGTACAGTATGTTTTGTACAGTGTGTGTCAGTGAAGGACCCTTCATCGCTGCCTGTAAATAATCATTTTGTGATGTAAGAGCTTCCATTGCCTCATGGCAAACCCTCTCACAGAAGAATCCTCTCTAATCAAGGCTTCCTGTTAGATTCAGGTTATATCCACATCAGCTGTCTAATAAGAATTGATGAAGCCTCGACCAGATACCAATCAGCTGACTACAGAGACGGTTTTGATGATGAAGTGACTGGCTGAGTTAGACATGAAGTCAATCTCAGAGTCACTTAAAATCCTCAGAAGTCAGCACTCTAAATCCTGTCCAATCTTCAGCTTGATACAGTACACTGATTTTACGATAGATATGTAAATTGTAATGAGATGCTAACTACCGCTCAATTGTGTAGGAAAGGCTTGCAAATGCTAATGCAACAGATAAACAGTTTTTCATTTGCCGATGTTTTTTTGTCAGAAAATCAGTAGTGTGTAGTGACCAAAATCAGCATTTAATTCTTTCTAGGATTTTAACAGCTAAAATGAGGGCACACAGAAATATCAGCACCTTGTTTGTCCATTTACAAAATACACAACAAATACTCTGTGTTGGCAGTCAGCCATCACAAGATGTGTATGCCAACACCCACTGGGCACAAGTGTGTTCAGATCCCCAGTCTGGTGTGGAGCTGCGTAACTTAAACCTGAAGTGTGCGTACAAAAATAGAAGGTAAATGTGTTCACCAAGTGCATAATTAGTTCTAACAACTTATCCTCGAATGGGAGATAACCCTCACCACAACTCAGTAAGGAATAACTGTGGAGCAGTATCGTCATGCTGACCCTCCTCCTTTATTTATCTCTCTCTTTTATAACCAAATCTGTTATCAGCAATTTTAGCTGATATTATAATTTATTATCATATATTATGTATATATTTGTAAAATAAATTCCACGTATACCAGCTGCAATATTATAGATATTATATAAATATATTATATATTTATGATATTAGTATTTATATAAATGTATTTAGAATATGATATATTCTGAAATTAGAGATTCTACATAAAGAGTACTATATTTAATTAACCTCTGCCATTTGAAATGATGTTTTCATGCCTGTCGGTTTGTGTGTTGGTTTGTTTGAAAGCAACATGAAAACAACTAAACTAATCTACACAGAACTTGGTGGAAGGATGTTGTATGAGTCAGAAAAGAACTCATTAAATATTGTTCAAGGATTTTTGGGTGCGTTTTTCAACATTGTTGAGCGTTGGAACAGCAGCAGTAGCCTGATTTCCAGACTGAATTTCCATTTTGTTTAACTTCTTTGGAGAACATTGAAGTCAACTTCAACTGTCACAGTGAGTCATTGATATTTCAAGTATTTACTGGTCCATATCACTTAATTATAAACTTCTGTTGTTGTCGTAGGTCCTACTGAAGCCTTGAACAGAGTTGTGATAGTTGCACCACCTCAGAATGCCACAGTGATGCTGGGACGCCCCGCTGTGATGGAGTGCATGGCACAAGGCCAGCCGAAGCCTCTGGTGTCCTGGAGCAGACAAGGTAACACTTCTAATGCTCTCACTTGTTCTTCATCCTATTTGTTTTTCCTCTTTTAGCTGCATCTGCTGTTTTTTCATTATCTGTGTGTTGATCCGTCTTTTCACACACAAAAAACAAACGGTGATATGTCAGAGTCAGAGCTATGTACCTGTGGCTGTGGAGCTGTGGCCTCAGTAACGGTCGCTGTCTCTTCTTAACCTCCTCTGCTATTGTACATTGAGCCGCGCTTTGCATAAAATAATATGTCACATTGAATCATCCCCTCCTCCACAACTCTGATTCACCAAACGCACAAAGATACACACGCATGCACTCATAGAGTCCTTGTGCGAATACTGTTGGGAAACATTTGGCATTTCTTCTTCATACTGTGATTTGTCTGCATTAGAAATTCATTCACAATTAATAGTGGATATATTTCATTATGTCAGATGTCGAAAACTGCCCTGCACAAAGTGGTAATTGATGCTTCTATAGTGATCATGTTGTTCACTGTTTCCCCCACATGCTGTAGTGAGATAGACATTGTCTGTAGAAAATCCTACAACACTGCAAAATGGCGGATCAGCTAAATAGTGATCTACTATATAGGATGAATAGTGAGTGATTTCACCCACAGCCCAGGAGTGTGCCAATGCAGATGGCTCAGTGAACCCAGACTGGAAAATCACAGAGCCACCTGTTGGTGAGCTTGTGTAATTACAAGTCAAATCCCACTGCTGCTTAAAGCGATGCTTTTCTCCTTTGTGCTGTTTTTCTGCTGCAGCTGAAAGCCTGAGGAATGATCTTCACTTTTCTCAAGGCAAATGTTTTTTTTCTCTCCTTTTTTACTGTATGATCTGGCAATGTTGTTCTTTCTCACTCTGCCCTTTGATCAGATGGAAAGCCCATTTCCACTGATGTGGTTGTCCTCGCAACAAACCTGGTGATTAGGGACACGAGGCGTCACCATGCCGGCGTCTATGTCTGCCGGGCCAACAAGCCCAAGACCAGAGAGTTTGTCATTGCTGCTGCCGAGCTGCATGTGCCTGGTAAGAGTCAAGTAGCAGGATTACTGAACTGATCTTTTCGTGTTGTTTTAGACACACACACGTGTTAAAAGGAGGAGGACACCAGCCTCCAAATCAGTGTTGGTATGCAGCATAATTTATGAGTCTGTGATCTGAGAGAGAGGGGGCGTGTGTATCTGTGTGTGTGTGTGTGTGTGTGTGTGTGTGTGTGTGGTCCAGGTATAACTCATGTTGTCAAGATCTGAATTTGTTCACACAGTCACATTATGGGGTAAATTCATGTAACATAAATCATTACATTTTAAGGCTAAGGCATGTTAGAAGGCTAGGTTAGGTTAGGGTAGGTTTAAGTTTAGGTTTAAGCTTAGGTTTAGTCTATGTTAGGTTGGAGTTAGGGTTAGACAAGTAGTAACTATTGTTAAGGTGAGAGTCAGTCACCAGGAGATCGATGTAAGTCAATGTAATGTCCTTTGAAATCCTGGGGATATGACTGTGTTTGTGTGTGTGTGTGTGTGT